AGGTCCTTGAGAAGGTAATCCAAGAAACATCACAGACGGGCTGTTTGTTCTCTTAGGACTATTTTAAAATGGGAAATGCCTGGACTAGTCTCCAGTCCATCTCCAAACACTCCCAAGACATCTTCTGATAATTTTCTAATCAGTTTCCCTTCTGCCTGGGCAGAAAGAAACAAAGACCATCCAGATAAAAACAAGCAAAGTCTGTGTATTCAGAGCTTGCCCTAGCAAGGGAGTTGGCTACCACCACCGCTTGGGTTTGGCAGGGAGAAGAGTGAGAGAGGAGGGGAGGAAGGTTGGCTTCAGAAGGGCCCAGTGTGGGGCCTGTTGTCTGGGGAAGCCACAGGCAGGTGCACTAGAAAGGAGGACTCCTCTGTGACTGGTGGAGAGAGCACATTTGGCCTGGCCTGTTTTCTCATCTGGCAAAATTAAAAGATGATCAATGCAGGCACCTGTTCTTCAACTAACTTCTATAACTCTAGCTCCTACCATTGATTACTGGCATTGAACAAGTAGTTGCTAAGGGAAGGGATGAGGAATCAGAACATCCCTTGGTAGAAATTATCTTATGCATCTCTATTTCCCTCTCTAACTAGATTTCCTTATCTACAAAATGGGCTTACTCTCATCCTTTGAATGATAGCTACTGTTTACTGCATGAACCCCATCTGCTCACTTGGGACAGGCACTCGGAAGACATGATCTCAGGTAACCCTCCAAACAACCCTGGGACATGAAAGTCTTATTCTCATTTTACAGACAGGGAAATAGCTTCAGAGTTACCATCTTGTACTGGTTACTTGTGTTACTAGATTATGACCCAGGGCAACTCATTTCCCTTCTCTGGGACCTCTCAATATCCCCCCTCTTTAAAGTAGGGGGACAAAAACACCTGCGTCAAGGCTTGCTATGGATGGGGGAGAAGAAAAAACTCTTCCTGATGGCAAAGTGTGAAACACTAAGTGTAAAGAGAGAATCAAATTTAAAAGTCACCAGAGCTGCAGGCAGAATCACAAGTGGAGGCTACATTAGTTGAGGGGGAAGTTTGAAGAGAGAAAGTGTATCCACTTAAGTTTTGTTTTGTTTTGTTTTCCTAGAGAGGAATGACTGGTTAATTCCCAGTGTAGAAAACTGTCAGGTAGCACCTTCACCAAGCAATCAAAGTTGACCTCAGCCAGTGCAGGGGTAAATCAACGTAACAGGTCTCTTTTGAAACAGTGCATTGGGAGGGAGCTAGGGCTCTGGTCTGTGAAAAAAAATAATAAAAAGCACAACCTGAGTTTAATCTAAATCAAACTGTGTGAAAACAAAAGACAAGCCCAAAGTGAGGGACACCTGACAAAATAAATAGTTTGAATTTCTAAAATATGTCAAGGTCTTGTAAGACAAGTGCTCCAAGGAAATGTTCCAGATTAAAGATTAAAGAGACTAAAAAAGAGGCAGGACAGCCAAATATAACAGGGGATTGTGGACTGGATCCTAGACCAAGTTTTCTGTGGTTGGATATTAGCAGCACAACTGGTGATTTTAAAAAAAAAATAAAATAAACTCTGAGGTTAGATAATACTACTGTATCAATATTGTTTTCATAATTATGATAATTATGGTTATAAAAATGAATGTCCCTAATGGTAAATGCTTAAGGAGTTGACAATGCTAATTACTCGGATCTGATCATTCCATAGCATATACTTGTTGAATTGTACCCCATAAGCATGTGTAATCATTATATACAAAAAATGTTTCTTCAGAGAGACAGAATATCTCTGTTTTGAGGAATATAAAATGGAATATTTAGGAGTAAATGGGTATGATATTTGCAACTTACTTTCCAATAGAAACTCTAGAAACAATAAACCAAACACAGTAAAGTGTCAATATTTGGGGAATATGAGTGGATGGTATTATTGATGCAGTTTTTCTGTAGATTCAAAAATATTTCAAAATGAAAAGATTAAAAAAAAGGGTTAAAAAAAAGTCTTGTTATGAAGGTAAAATGTGTTCATGCCTTGAAAGGACTTGAACCATAAGCCTTAAAATATTAGTGACTAGATATAATTATCACCACCACACAATTAAGAAGTGGCAGGGCCACCTCTACTTCTATGTGGCCCTGAAGCCCTTATCCTTAACCCCTTCACATCTTCACTTCTTCTGAGTTCAGAAAACCCAATAAGACGATGGACGGAAAAGTCCATGAAAACTGAGACGTGCTGCACCTTTGTGAGTGGCTGCCATCTCAGGATTCTTGTCCCAATGATGAGATGACTTTCATCCAGACTAGGATAAGGTACTAGAGCTCAGGGAGCTCAAACTACTTCAACCAACTCACAAGATCATCATCAAAACCCGATTCCCCAGTGAACAGCCCCATCCTTCTCAAATTGGATTGTGTGCTGCAAGGAAAAGTTTGGGAAAGGACAGCTTCTTTCACATCCTGATCTGCTCTTCTGTTCCTCTGTCTGGTGGCGCTCCTTGTGGTCTCAGGCTGAGCTGAGACCCCATGACTGGCCGGAGCTGCCTCGTGTCCTTGACTGGAGCCCAGGGGTGAGGCAAGACTCAAAGCAACCTACTGCATCTCATGCCATCTCTCCTGCAGATGGCATTTTCTTACATCTGATGCTAAAAATTATCATTTTTTCTCTCCATCTGAAAAAACCCAGAAGGAAAGGTGGGAAAGGGAATCTCCGCTGGCCTAGAATCTTGGCTCCTACACACATCCAAAGACAGTTCCTGAGGCTGCTTCTTCTTACTGGTGCTATTTCCTTAATAACGTTTCCAGAGATTAACTGAATTCATTAAAAAATATATATCTATGGGTTGGCTAGAAATGAAGTGTTTCTGCTCAAACCTAGCATTGTATAACGGGACCCTAAAAGTACAGATCTGAAATTCATTTTTTTTATACGGACTTGTATATCCAAATTTGTTTCACTGAAAAACCCAGATGTAGGTGGTTTATCCCTGAGGTACTAACTTCCCAAGCAAGGGAAGATGTTGTTGTGTTTCAGTAATGCTGTGGGATGAAAATCTTAAGTTAATTAGAAGTAAAAGACATTAGTTTGGAGAAAAGGGTCCTAAAAATATATGTCAGCCCCAGTTTCCCTACCTGTAAAACAATCTCTAGGTTTATTGTAAAAGGTGAATAGCATAATGGATGAGAGAAAAAATAGGTTTCTATGAATAATATTTAAGTGAAAAAATATTCCAAAGTCAGCAATGGTGCAGTTAGGAACTATTTACCTTCCTCCCCTGACCCGCCCCAAAGGTGTCAAAGCCAGGATACTGCAATACCTGCTTTAGCTTCTCACCAATGTTGCACTTGAAGTTCCTAAACGTGGAAAGAACTTTCCCAATGACTCATGCAGATATGACGAAGGATACTGGAGAAACCCTGAGTTTTGAACAGAAAAAGGAAATGCAGGTTATTTTAAGCAAATGGATAACAGCAAGTGAGACATTTTTTAAAAATGTCTCCTATTTTTGTTTGCTTTTTAATTTTTTGTTTGCTTTTAAATTTTTTTTCTAGTTTTAAAGAAAGGAATAGTATAGGGCCAGAGGAGCTCAGAATATCTCATGAAGCTGTAAAGTAATAAAAATTTAATCTGCACCTGTTTGGAGTTCCTCTGAGCAACTAAAGGGTGTCAGTGAATTCCATTTACCACTACATGTTGACAGAACCATCATCAACTTGGAGTTTTATGTATATAAACTGGCTTTTTGATTTGTTCAGGAAGTAAGTTTAAGTCAGGTGCCCCCCTTCATTTTGTACTTGCATTGTAAATAATAAACTCAATCCACTTAAAATTTCACAACAGGGATTTTCATATTTGCCTTAAGGTAGTAATTTTTCTAATTCAAAGCTAATTATTACATAGCTACTCTTATTTAACTCACTAAAATTTCTTTATGGTAGTCACCAAAGACATCGACTCATGGCATTTATGCAAAATGAATAGGAAATGTATAAAATACATATATGCTAAGAAATTTAAAATATATATTTTTTTATTTCTTGGAAAGTCTTTTAATAATAACGACTGTCATTTATTAATTACCACATTCTACAAGGCATCACATTTCAGGCTATGGCAGGCACACTATCTCTACTTCTTAAAAATCTTACAGGTAAGTAGTAGTGCACCCATTATACAGAAGAGGAAAACAAGGCCCACAGGGTTTATTATCACTTCAGTGCCCCTCTGCTGATACCGTGATTTTTTCTGCAGTATTCTGTCCTTCACCACCACTAGCCGCAAGTGTCTATCATGTCGCTGTAGGGGGAGGGGTGCTTTTTGCGCCACACGGTGTATATTTCACATTTACTGGAAATAGCCTTTTTTTTTTTTAATCTGCTGTTACACATGGTCCCTTCAAGCAGTTCCACAGAATTCCAAATGTCAGAAACAGTTCGCACAACTGGGGAAACGCTGAGTACGCCTTTCAGTCCACACTTTTGATGGAGCCACTGCACTTTACCCAGTTGGTTTTAATTTAATTTCTGTGATGTTTCAAATTTCTTTTAACTTCTTGAGAGAGCTTTGTTCACCTACCACGGAGTCTCAGGCACACAGTAGGCACCCCATGAATTCTAAACGAACTGCATCACTTAGTTTAAATATTTCTATCTAAAAAAGAAGAAGAAGAGGGCTTGGTTAGTTAAAGGAACGTATGTGCTTCAGGGTTTTTAAATGGAACAGTTGGTGAAGAATTTGTCTCTAAACGTTTGTCTTCAAGGACCTCGGGTGGGGGGTGGGGTGGGGTGGGGGGTCACTGCCTGTGCTCCCTCTGGAGATGGACACCGCGAGGCAATGTCACTAACTGGACCTGTTCCACCTGCCCTCACCCCCCCCCCGCAGCTCCCCGGGGCCGCAGGAGAACCCGTGGGGCAGGGACAGCCGCCTCCGCCGTGGCGCTTGGGGGCCACGTTGAAGTTCAGAGGGACGCGTTTGCCAGCAGACAAAGAGCTGCGCGGTCTCGGTCCCGGGACCAGCTGCAGCTGCCTTTAGAGAATTCAAGAGCCGCGGTGACAAATGGGCATTCCGCACGCGACCAGACAGGCACACCCGAGCTGGGCTCCCCGCAGCCCGCCGGCGGGTCCAGCTGCCCAGCCCTCAGCCAGCTCTCCCGAGTGGATCCCCCCGGGACGCGCCGGGGGCCGGGCGTCTCGGACCCAAGAACTTTCCCGTCCTTCTCCGGGTGGGGGGTGATTAGGGGAAGGGTGGGAGTCTCCAGGGAGCTCCGTCACCATCCGTGGCGGGCGACCCTTCCCAGGTCCATCCTTGAGCCTCAGGCGCCTCGCGGAAGCGGCTGGGAGCTAGTGCCAGGCGGCAGCGCGGGGCTGGGCCGAGCTGGAGGAACAAAGGGAGCCAGCGGGCCCGGAGGATGCTGCGCTCCCCGACGCCCCACCCAGCCGGCTGGAGGGCGCTGCCTGGCGCGCAGGTAGCTTGGCCTTCAGCTCTGCCTTGAGCTCCAGCGAGGTGCACAAAGACTCACTTCCGTAGCGCCAGGCTCCCAGCTCCCCTCCCCGCCACTCAGAGCCCGTTGGCATTCCTGCACCCCTACTGCCATCAGGGGCCCAAGTGCTCCCCCGGGTGCCAGGCGCGGTGCCAGGCGGGGACTGTGCAGGTAACCCCCGGAGGAGCTAGGGCTGGATGGAGGCGGTGGCTGGGGAGAAACAAGCCTTTTTAGGCATCTGCGCCGCCCCACGCAGCCCAAGTCTGCAATCACTCTCTGCAAGAGGCAGGGCTCGGCGCGTAGCCCGGAGCGCCCCGCCTGTGCTCGCCGGCCGGCCGAGCTGCGGGGCCGGGGGCGCCGGGAGGAGGCAGTGTAACTTCCCAGTGCCCTGCGCCCTCCCGCTAGGTGAGCCAGGCCAAGAGGGAGGCGGAGGGAGAGAGAGGAGAGGGAGGGGGAGCCCGGGCGGGCCGAGGGGGCCGGCGGAGCTCCCGGGCGGGGCGCGGCTCAGCCTCTGCGACCGGGCCCGCAGGCGCCGCCTCGCCCCGGGGCTCCGGACCAGGGTTCTTCCAGCTGCCAGAGCCACCGGCTCCACCACCGCGCAGCCCGAACAATGAAGCGCGCGGCGTGGAGCTGAGCGCAGCCCTGCACTGGCTCTGAGGCCGATCCCCCCAACCCCCGCCGCGCCCCGCAGCTGCTGCCTCCACAGAGCCGCGCTGGCCGGGAAAGGTGATCCCGCAGGCCGCCGGGGACGTGAGTGCACGGTCGCTGTGAGCCCCTGGGTGGCACGAGGAGGTGGCGGGGGCAGCGCCAGCAAAAGGATTGGAGCCGCGCACTAGTCGCCTGCAGCCTGCAAGTTCCGTGGCGCGCGTCTGGCGCCCCCGCCCTGGGTCCGCGCTCCATAGGGCGCCCGTGTGAATGTGGGAGCGCATGGCGCGCGCGCCCGAGCGGCGGCCGGGGAATAAAATGTGAGACGCACGTCTCCGACTTCAGCATCGCGCTTCTCCGGGAGCGCCGAGGTGTGGAGGCGCGGCGTGGGGAGAAGGTTAGTGGGGGACTGCGTGGGGCTCGGGCTCTGGGTTACGTCTTTCCCGGTGTGGCTGCAGCGAGTGCGCTATTCGGCACGGAGTTGGACTTCGTCGGCAAGAAGACAGACCTGTGTGTGCGAACCGTGGAGGGTGGTTTGGGGAGAAGCAGGACATTCGGGAGAGGGTGAGTTAAGTGGAGGGTTTGCGCTTTGGGAACGCACCGACAGTTTGCCCCTGTAGCTCACTAACGGTATTTTATTTGGTTCTGGAAGGGAGTGAAGATTTTTATTGTCTTTCTCTAGCCCACCTCCATGCAAAACTGCACTCTTGAAGCTTAAAGTGTGTTCTGTTGATTTCTCGTTCTCTGTAGCTACGATGTTTAGGAGCAGAAGGGATCTTGAGAATATCCAAAGAAGCCGAGTCTTAATTCTTATATACTTGGCAAGTGGAAAACTCTGCTTTGGGATTGTTTTACTTTCCACCCGTGCACAGAGTAGATATTTGATGCATTCTTTTGAGTACGGAATGTGACATCCATCTCTTTTGGATTTGACCATGCTGGTGCTGGGGGATTGAGTGAAGTCAAAGCAAGAGATGCTTTCCAAAGAGAATTGAATAGCTGTGTTTGGAGAAGCCGTGCTTTCCAGGAATTTAAATGAGACTTTTTTTGTGATTGCCTTCCAGGTCTCTCTTCCTAGTACCATATTTGCTTTGTAGGGCAGAACTTCCAAAGCTGTTTTATAATCTGAGAAGCACTTTGGAGGCTGAGGGAATAAAGCCTAGCTGAATTTTTGTAAACCTATACTTATTGGTCATGCTGAAAATTTAGCGAGAAGTGAATCATACGTGATTGAAATCTTTGTCTCCTAGACCACTGGACGTTCCAACCGAGAAGGGATATGATAGTCCTCCACGCAAACTGTCTTCCCGGGTGGGGGAATCACTGGCAGGCTTGCAGTACATTTTTGTCTACAGTACTTATTTTCTAAAGCACATTTTTAAAACCTCATGTATGTTGTTTGATTATTAATATTTCAGAAATTGCAATAAACTTTTTTTTTACCATTTTGAAATATAATGTATGACTAAGAAAGAACTAAAATAAAGGGAAGTATCATCCCTTTCAAGTTTAGTCCTAACATCTCTTTTCAAAGGAAAAATGATGTGTGGCCATGAACCTCTTTTTACCCACTCCCCTTCCACCATCGTTCTTCTGTAAAATTGACAACCAAATTTTTCACAGCACTTAAAGTCATGCATTTTGTACTAATGCATTAGAAAACCCACTGGCTATGGCAATTTGGATACTGTGGCCAAAATGGAGGGGGAAAAAACTTTACTAAATGACTTGTCTTGAATTTCACGAGATTAAAAAAACACAGTCATGAAAGAATTCTTGATTCAATTCATAGTTTGCAATTGATAGAAATTGTAGCATTTTGTGTTTTGCTTGGTGCAATTGAAGCTTCTGGAGTTTTAAGCCAAATCTCTTTAGCTATTTTGATAGAGCCTCACCCCTTAGTTAGAGCTTAGTTCTGTGTTCCACAATTTAGAGTGCATTTGGAGACTGGTGGAGAGTTCAGAGGAAAGAGCAGAATTTGTTGCAATCTAGGAAGTAAAGGTAAAGAACTGAAGATATTTAGACTAGAGGACTTAGTTTAAGATGACTTACTATTTAAAAATGTGTGAATGATGTATTATGCAGAAAAGGGCAATTGTTTGTGGTAAGTTTCTGATGAGGATAATTAAGAGGAAAAGAGTTCACTGTGGGGCGAAAACAAAGTTGAGTCTTTTGAGCTGTTGCCAGTCTAACCAGCAACAGCAAGATTGCTGAGAAATTCTTGTACATGCTTGTTTCTAGAGCTTTTAATCCCCCCCTGCCCCCTTTCTGAGAGTCTTCTCTTTCTGAGATGATTGACATGTGTGTGTCTCTGATCAACTGCTTATTTTTCTCCTCTAGATCTAGAATTTATTCAAGCATTTTTCAAGTGCTTAAATCTTCTCTAAAATGACAAACTCATTCCTAGGCTTCTGCAGCTTCCGCTGAGGTAAATAAATCTTGAAAGAAAAACTTAAGAGATATTTGTCCTCTGGGAAACTTAATTTGCAAATTGGCTGTCTCATTCATGATACTCTGAATAAAAAATATGGTATGCATGATAATAGGAACAGTCATTTAGAAACTGCATCTTCTCCTTAAGTATACTGTATTGTGTTATTCCAGATCGATTGTTTTTCCTCCTCCTGAATATTCTGTAATATGATCTTAAAATTTAATTGCTTAAATTAAATGTTTTATTCCTTGCTTAAACATCTAATGGAAACAGATAGTGCCCTCATGGTAGGTGTATGTTCAGTTTTGATTTTTTAAGCATCGAAAGCTTAAAGCGTATCCTTTTATAGAGATCTATCGTATGAAATTCACAAATGAGTATAAAAGAAATAATTACATTGAATCAGATACTAATTTTGGATCAGGCAATTGCAGGTGCATGTTATGTAGAAATTTTCAACATTCTTAAAAACCAACTGTTGCTGTTAATGCCAGTGACTGAATGGGTTGTGGATGATGACCAACTGCTGTTAGCAGATTATCATACTTTCCATTGAATATAGCTGCCATTTTTCTGAAAGACCTCCTTACTACTTTGGAGAGATTCGTTTGTAAACATCATGAAGTACACAGTGCAAAGACAGAGGCGTTAGGGAAGATGGATTTATTATGCCTTTTACCAAATCTGAAATATATGCTGATCTGAAATTCCCAGCAACCCCTTGAATTGATAGAGATAACATTGCAGTTCAGAATATATACTTGGAACCTATCTTGTCCAGATGTTAAATGCATTTAAAGTCATGAGATATGAACTGGGCAGTCCTAAGGTTTTACAGGAGCTGGAGATGTGGTCCAGCACCAGTATCAATCAGTCCTAGCCCTTGGTTAATGCTGTTATCCTGCAGGTTCTGTGCTGTCCCATGGTCTGGGATACTTCCTGGTTTGGGGGAGGAATTGCTGTGTGGACAAAAATGATATTAGTGGGCTGCTGCCCAATCTGGGGAAGTTCTGTCTCCGCACAACTGTTCTTTGTCTGCCCTCCTGGCCTCTGCTGCCCCCTGTGGTCCTCTTTAGGGAAGAAGTCCAAATTCAAGGCACTCGTGCCTCTAAAAAGCTCGAAGGGTATGAGGGCTGGGTTTTCAGTTTTGCACTTAAAGAATAACGTGGTAAAGAAAGCTTTGGCCCCTGCAGTGACCTGCCCTGGAGGAAATCTGGGACTCAACTGGAGTTCAGTTTCCAGTACTGTAAAAAGAAGGCCTAGATTAAATCTCCAAGGCGACTTCTGGTGTAGAGATTCCTTAAGATGGATAATTGTATGTTCTGGTGCACTTAAAAGCTAATTTCCCTGCAGCCCCAGGAGAGGGTTGTAATTCAAAGAATAACAATAACAACTGATTTTCACATTTTATGCACCACACCCTGCTATTTGCTTTGCATAAATTATCTAGGTATGCTTTAGCTACCACCAGGGGAAGTATTATTATCCCCATTTTACAGGTGAGAAGGCTGAGCTTTGAGAAGGTGAAGTGCCTTCACAGAGCAGGGGATTGGACCTGGGTCTGATGTCCAGAGTGCATGCTGTTAGATGGAGATCCATTCCACAGGGGAACAGGAAACATACCCAGAGACTGGCCATGACTGAGAGCTTTCATTTATGTTTTAAACCATGGCTGAGCTTGCTGGGTGGAGAAGGTTGTGCCCAAAAGAAGGTGCAGGCAGGGGAACCTGTGTGCACTGATGGCACATGTTCATCTGCAAGCAGAAAATAGCTTGAACTGCAAGTTAAAATATGGGCTAGGAAATTTGGAATATTCATTCACTCAGTGTTAGAATGAAATTCTGACTCATATGAAAGGTGTTGTATCAGGTGAAAATTCCAAGGAAAAATTTAGGCTAGGATTTGT